AGTCACACACACACACACACACACACACACACACACACACACACACACACACACACACACACACACACACACACACACACAGAAAACAAAACTACAAAGTCAAATTAAACGACCTATAAAATTAAGATGAGAATCGTAAATCTCGCTTGTTCACACGAGATCAGAGGGCTGGATAATTTTCATAGTGACCACCTCGCCTTGGGAAATGTACCCGTTACATTAAAATTCTTCGTTAATGATTTGAGGTGTACATTTTTCTTTTTTTTTTTCAGGAACATTTTTTTCTATAATAACACAAAGCAGTTCCGGTTCTCTTCAGGAGATGGGCGATCATGGCTCTCCACAATTTCCTGTCCTTTAAGTTCTCAGTAATATGTGACCCCTAACTATCCCTTCTCGTCCTTGTGACGTCATCCATTTACAAAAGCTTAGTTATATTTAACCGGCGTAGTTACAAACATTTTTTCTATATTGACACAAGGCAGTTCCGGTTCTCTTCAGGAGATGGGCGATCATGGCTCTCCACAATTTCCTGTCCTTTAAGTTCTCAGTAATATGTGACCCCTAACTATCCCTTCTCGTCCTTGTGACGTCATCCATTTACACAAGCTTAGTTATATTTATCCGGCCTCCACCCCATTAAAATAGGGTGTGGCATGAGGTCTGTTTTTTACGTGGGAACTGCCATACAAAATGTATTTAAATTTTTTTCGTCCACTGCGAAGAAAGTTGGCTCTCTGTGGCGCGCCAGGAAATTTTTCTCCCCGGAATCGATACTTCAAATATACAAATCAACCATTCGCCCTTGCATGGAGTATTGCTGCCATATATGGTCTGGGGCACCTTCTGTTTACATCAGAGTTCTTGACAAGACCCAGAGGCGGATATGTAATATAATTGGCCCTGATCTGGCATCTCGTCTACAGTTGCTCTCTCACAGACGCACCGTCGCCTCTCTCTGTCTTTTCTACAAATACTTTCATGGTAATTGCTCTGATGAGCTGCTTTCACTTCTACTCCAATAGCTTCATATCTCGCACCTCTCGCCTGTGGAACACCCTTCCCTATTACTGTTTCCCTGAGAGCTATAATCTCCAACTATTCAAATGTAATGTCAATCGACATCTCCAGTTGCCTTGATCTATCCACTATCCTTCTCCTTATCCTTTCCTCTATCACTCCTATCTGCTCTCGCTCCAAATCTTCTGCAACCCCCCTGGATCCTAGTGGCTTCACGCCTTGCTCGGGGCGTAATGCTTAAAAAAAAAATTATCTAACACTTTAACCCTTTGCGTTCATAGTAGCTTTACTGCCTTGCTTGGGGTGAAATGATTACATAACATCTGAGCACACTGTTTAAAGATAATTTCTTGTAGACATTTTAAAGATTTCAGATGGTGGTGTCTGTCGAGGTTCAATGACATCTATGTTCAGTGGGGGGTGGCTCGACGGTTACTCTGGCAAGATGTCCGCAATGGTGACAGCGAAACCTGCCTGGAGACGTGGGTGCTTCTACTACTGGTTTCTCTTTTGCACGGGCCTCGTTGATTCAGTCACGCCGGTTGACTTCAAAAGTCTCTTCTGCTTCGCTGGTCAGGGCTCGCCATCCAGTTCGATCCTGTACCCACTCTTCAAGCTGCATGGTAGTTTTTTTATAGTGATATTCACCCTGTACGATAACCCGGAGCCACTCGAGGTAGAGGATTACCGAGTAAGAGGCACAGTTTATGCGGATATATGAGGAAGATAAAGGTTAACCCAGGTTAAGACTGTAGTGATCAGGGAAGCATTCACTTGCCACAAGGCAGGGATTCGTGGGAAGAAGCTGCTCGAGTGGAACTTACATCTCACCAATGGAATACGAAGAGAATGAGGCTACAACGTGCGGGGCGTGGCGGGTCTTAGCCGTGAAGGTTAGAACTCGTGGGAGTAAGGATGTGGGCGATGTTGGCTTTGATTCGGTCTTTGAAGTGTTTCAGTGACCTACGTTTCTTTCTCTTTTCCTTAGAGGGATCGCGGGTGCAGAACGACTCATCCCGCCAACTCAACACCGCCGACTCAACGCCGCCAACTCAACACCGCCAACCCAACGCCGCCGACTCAACACCGGGCAACTAATCTCCGTGACAACGTAGCTCCCGAACAACTAACCCTCAGCCTACTCAGCGCGAGGACAACTCAACGACATCCAAACAATTTTCGTCGACTTTTTAAAAAACAAATAAAAGCAAATTATTAAGGATCATTTTTTAAAAATACATGACTTTATTTTTAACTACCTATAAGTATCTGTAAGTCAACAGACTACAGAGACGAGCTGTTGAGTGCGACTCAGACTTACCCAAATAACTACCGACCTTCCAATAGCAGCACCCATTACTGGATTAACCTGCGACGACCTTGTGCATAACTGTTACCTTTATTTTTATTGTACTGTGTTTTTGTTTTTTTTTACAATAAACCTTTACTTATTTTATCCACCTTGTTTTTCAAGTATATATTCCTATTAGCATGGAATATAACAGTAAGGATCATTTTTTAATACGTGATTTTTTAATTTCAAAATTTATTGAAAATTGTATGCAATTCCTCTCAAATATTCAAGACCATTCTGAAAAAAAGAAAAAAAAAACAATCTGCAAAATTCTTTCATTTGCCTCCAGAGATTTTTTCATTTTAGGGAGAGTGGGAAGACTCCCAATTAATTGCTAAAAAGAATGCATCTTAGTTTCTTTGCACCTTTTGCATCCCCGTAACAAATCTCCATATTGTTGGGTTCTCAAATCCCCATCTCTGTGAGTAATCTTCTATTTGATGCTTCGGCATGGTTATTTGTCAGATCTTGAAAATTAAACACCAGTCAGCCAAAATAGGTTTTTGCAATTAATAAATCGCGAAGACAAACAGCCAAACTTTCAAAATCTCTACGACTCAAAACCGATCTAAGAGATATGAACATTCTTACAGCCATCACCAGTTTGAAGCTATGAATTTGACGCCAGGCGTTGAGTTGTCCTCATGCTGAGAAGGTTGGTGGTGAGTTGTCCTGGAATTGAATTGTCACGGAGATGTGTTTGCCGGTGTTGAGTCGGCGGTAATGAGTTAATTCACCTCTCCAAGTTCTCCACTGCCTTAACTAGGTACTGAACCCACGCTATTTAGGTCCTGTCACTGGATCTAACTAACGCCTTTATCCACTGTGCTATAAACAATTTGGTAAATTGGCAGATTAAGTCTCGCACACCAATTGTAATTAAAATTTCCTGGAAATTTCCATTTTCGTTTAAATTTGTTTGCTTGTTTCGAAAATAACAGTAAAAGTTTGCGGAAACCTACCGCTTAGGAGTCATTGACAATATAAGTTCGATCTCATTCGCGACGGATCCGTCCGCTATTACTAGTTTTGTTTACATAGGTCTACCTTGAGCAGTCATACGCGGAAGCTTACTTAGTTAACGGCCTTTTTACTTATCTTCCTATCTTCTTACTCGTCTCGATTACTACGCGAAACCAAAAGAAGTCTTTAAACACATTTGAAAGTGAAGCTTTTATTGACTTTTTTTTTTTTTTTAAATTGTTTAAGTTATTTAGAAAAGCAATGACAAATGTTTTTTTATATTGAAGCTGTAATAATAATGAATTGTTTTTTAAATAAATAAATTTTGAATAATTTTTAAATAAATAAATTTTGAAAGGAGGCCTTTACACAATTGACATTGCTATTTTGTAAACAATCATGTTTAAATAATATTGCTTAAAATTGTTTATTATTAAGTGCTTTACCAGGGTTACATTTATTTTACTTAATTATTTTTGTAAAAAATCATACGTTTTAAAAGCACAAATTTAATTAAAAAAAACAAAAACAACTTGAACCATAATACTCTTCTCCTTCCTATTATTATTTCCGTTCTAGCATTTCTTTTATATTTTGCAAATAATCATGGTCTTTTTTAATTTATGGGCATTGCGTGCGTAATAATCAAGACAAGTGAGGCTTCCGCGAATGATTGCTCCGAGACGAATATAGGTAAACAACGCCAGTAATGGCTGCCGTGCTGCAGCCACGACGCGAATGAGTCCGAAATTTTATTGTCGATAACTCCAAAACAGTAGATTTCCGCAAACTTTTAGTGTTATTTTCGAAATAAACACGTAAATTAAGACCGAAATTAATATTTTCAGGAAATTTTAATTACAATTGGTTCGCGGGGCATAAATTGCAAATTTACCAACAATTCTTATTTATCGAAATAATGTTTTTTCTTAATATAATAGTTTCCTTAATATATCTTAAAAGCTTTTCCAATTAAATACTGTCATAGTTTTATTGCATTTTTTTATTTTACGTTTCGGAGCAGATCAAAATGTAAATGATGTTTCTGGGTGACAAAAACAAACTGATGATTTAAATTTTTCAAGGGGTCCTGCTTTCAACTAATATAAATATGATCTTTTAATTTCACGAAATTTCATAAAATTAATGAGTTGGGTTAAAAGATGTAAACATATATATATATATATATATATATATATATATATATATATATTTAGCAAGATTTTCTAAACAAAAACTTTTAAAAATAATTTCATTAATTTCATTAAAATCCAACAATTATTTGATTTTTGAAAGAATTTCCAAAATAATGAGATTTTTTACCGTAAAAGGGAGGTTAGATTTTTCATACTCATCTTTGGCTCATCCGCTGATCAAAGAAAAACAAGATCTTTTTTTTTAACCAAAATTTAGAACGTGCAAGAAAGGTATCTGTCTATACTTTTGAGATGAGGTATTATGTACACTATCTTCGTCGCCTCAAGGTCACATGGCACAGTGGATAAAGGCGTTGGTTAGATCCAGTGACAGGACCCAAAGGGTGTGAGTTCAATACCCGGTTAAGGCAGTGGAGAAATTGCAGAGGGGAATTGACAGAAGATAACTGACATCCATTAAACGTGGAACTAGAACAGTCTACCCCAGTGAGCGAAATAAAGGGTTGACGATAAAACTGGGTCCTTTTTCATCAAGCTTTGAACTTATTTTCGGTGAAATTCTTGGAGGTACCTACTTTTAATAAGTGTGACATTCTTTTCAGTTCGACATTCCAACCACTTGAAGAAGGCCGGAGCTTACAACGGCCGAAACGTTGTAATAAATATGGCGACAAAGATGAGGACAATAGTCCGAATAATGTAGTGGGCCAGAAAAACATGTGCTAAAAAATGAATAAAATAATCCAAAAGTAATTTGGTCTTTCTTCTTAATAATAACATTAAAATTTTGACGATAAAACTTTGCTTTTATCAAGTCTGGGGTATTTTTTCATCAAGCTATGAACTTTTTTGGCGATTTTTTGGAGGTACCTACTTTTAATAAGTGTGGCATTCTTTTGACCGTTGTAAAGTTTAGTGGCTAGCAGGAAGGGAGTCAAGTACCTACTGGGTCGGTAAAGGGAGCCAGGGATTTTACTTGCATAACGATATTTTTAATTCTTTTTATAAATACTTGTTGCAAAATAAAATCCCCATATTTGCCTTGACAGCAGAGGACGGAACGAGTTGACTGAAATTTGACTGACACACACACACACACACACACACACACACACACACACACACACATATATATATATATATATATATATATATATATATAATTAACGTTTCTTGAGGTAGGAAACGATGATGGTACCATCATGGTTTCCCCACCCGAAGAAACGTTAATTTTAACGTTGAAACCAGATGTACAGTTTCGTAGTGGGTCTGTATATGTTCTAATGTAAGAGTGCATAATAAATAAATATTTATTACTTTTGTATTGCTCCCTGTTTTAAATTAATGTTTTGAACGCGAATTTTTTTATATTTGTGCATATATATATATATATATATATATATATATTTATATATATATATATATATATATATATATATATATATATATATATATATATATATGAAGGAAGAGGTTATAGTAGTTCCAACGAGATAAAAGGTTGTATATTAAAAAAGAAGAGAGAAATCGCAAACGTTTTTGGTTGTTATATGGAATTTAAAAAAAAAAATATTATGCTTTATTTTCCATAATTTTGCTACACGAGTTTCCGGTCTCATGACCTTCATCAGGAAAAAAAGTGGAGATTTCCATATTATTAAAAATAATTAATTTTTTCTTCTTTTTTTTTTTTTTTTAATAATATATGGAAATCTCCACTCTTTGCCTGATGAAGGTCGCGAGACCGGAAACTCGTGTAGCAAAATTATGGCAAATAAAGCATAATATATTTTATAAAAAATCCACATTACAACCAAAAACGTTTGCGATTTCTCTCTTCTTCTTAATATATATATATATATATATATATATATATATATATATATATATATATATATATATGTGTATATGTATGTGTGTGGGGGGTGTTCAGGCCAGAATATAGTTGGATAAAAATACCGTTTAATTAAAAACAGCGCTTCTACTCGAATATGAGTATCCATCAAAAATAATATTAAACAAAATAAATTAAAAATATATATATATATATATATATATATATATATATATATATATATATATATATATATATATGTATGTATGTATGTGCGAGAGTGTACAACGTTGGTTATCTGGAATTGCTTAATACCGTGTCTATCATCATTCTGTTTATCTATCTCAGTGGAACGATGAATCTTTGCATCGCTAAAATTGGCGCTTCCATGTCTACAGAAGCTAAGTGGAAACAACTTTGGAATGGGAGAAATGGAAATGATCACAAAGTCTCCAAGAAATTCTTCAATAATTAAATACACGTACAAATAAACCGGTCTGTTGTTCAGCGTACCTACTCGTAAATAGGCGGGGTTGGGCCCGGGGCGGGGATATTTTAAACTGGCGCGACCCAACCCTTACCAAAAAAAAAAAAAAAAAAATAGAGAAGAGAATAAAATTAGAGACATATTGTGTGTGTGTGTGTGTGTGTGAGAGAGAGAGAGAGAGAGAGAGAGCGAAACTGAGTGTGTGTATCTGTGAGAAAGAGAGAGAGAGAGAAATAAATAAATAAAGAAAGAAAGAAAGAAACGAAGAAAATAATAGAGAGTTTGTGCGAGATAGGAAAGAAGATAAAGAAAGAAAAGAAGGAATTAAGATTTTGATTAAAGAGGTGGTGAGGAAAAAGAGAGCGTAGTGAAATAAGACCAAGAAATGAAGAAGATAAGGAGAAAAGAATGAAATAAAGAACGAATGGATGAACAAAAGGAAGAATAAATGAATAAACGAATGAAAGAATGAAAGAATGAATGAATGAAAGAATGAAAGAAAGAAAGAAAGAAAGAAAAAGAATTGTGAGTTTGTGAGAGAAGAAAGAAAATAAAGCGAGAGAGAGAGAGAGAGTGGGTAAGATTTTGATTGAAGTGAGGATGAGAAAAAGAAAATGAAAAAGAGAGAGTAGATATAAGAAGAAAGGTTGAAGATAAAGAGAAAAGAAAGAAAGAAAGAAAGAAA